ATATTCTCTATTTTTCAAGGGAGAAAAAGAGCAGAAAACTTGTTTTTGAAGTCCAAAAGGAGCTAGGCAACGTACAACTATCACCATATTCCTCAAAACAACACCATGGAGAAAAGGCATTACATCCATTTTACAAGCACTGAAGTCACAGAAAAGAAGAGGTGAAGCAATCTGACCAAGATCACACAGCTAAGCACTCAGATCCCATTCAAAACCCAAGCCCTTACCCCACCATGCCCTTTATACAATTATATTGTAAAATTCCATTTTATTTTTTAAAGTATTGGCCAGGTGCAGTGGCTCATGACTATAATTCCAGCACTTTGGGAGACTGAGGTGCGCAGATTACCTGAGGTCAGGAATTCGAGACCAGCATGACCAACATGGAGAAACCCCATCTCTACTAAAAACAGAACATTAGCCAGGTGTGGTGGTGCATGCCTGTGATCCCAGCTACTCAGGAGGCTGAGGCAGGAGAATCACTTGAATCCAGGAGGCGGAGGTTTTGGTGAGCCAATATTGAGCCACTGCATTCCAGCTTGGGCCACATGAGCAAAACTCCATCTCAGAAAGGTATACAAACACAAGCAAAAAGTAAACAACGATCACTGTCATATCTCCGTAGCATTCCTTGTCCTCAATCCTACTCTTTTCTCTGAACAGTTTGAGATACTCCTTTTATACCATTTTCGATGCATTTGTGAACACTGTTACCAACACTGGTACTACTCAACTTTAAGTTCTGCCAATATGATAGATTAAAATATACGCTACTTAATAAATGAGAATCTTGAGTGTCAGGTACTAGCCAGGCAAACAGGATATGATAAGAAAAAAAGAAAAACAGCTACAGCTCTTGTCTTCTTGGGCTTACTAGTGTAGCGGTAGAAAAAAACTGAGAATGGTTTAAGTGATAAAGTGTAATTGTGAGTGAAGTGCTAGGAAGCAAAGAGAAATCAGTAAACAGAATAAGGTGGTTTCTGGATTAACGGGGGAGCACTAGTTAGAATTTCCTTGGGTAAGTATGCTTTTCAGATATTTGTTAATATCATTTGCAAAGTTAATCTAATTTAATTAGAAGGTTGAAACATTTTTTTCAGACAGAAAAAAAAAAAGCCAGTAGCTACCAATTTTCAGTTTATATCTTTGCCCTCTTTAAGAGTGAGTTCTTATCCTGTGGTTTTTCCTTTACATCAGTAAGCCTGTACTTATTGTCCTCTAGAAAGAGAAATACGCTAAAAGAAAGAATACTCTAAAAATAATTTTGTTATACTTTTCTAAGCACTACACTTGATGTGCTTTAAACTCTGGATTGTTTACAGAGGCCTCTCGTTTTAAATGTTATTTTCCTTTAAAAAAAAAAAAAGATTACCTGAAATAAATCTGATCTCTCCTTTGCATTTCTGTTTGGAACAAAAAGTTACCTAAGCTACATTTTGTCCAGTAGTAAAAACTAACTTCAATCAATCTGCATGAAAAGACCACTTACAGTTAGTTTGTATTTCTGTGTTCATTGGGAAAGAATGTAAGGAAGTTGTAGGTTCAGGCTGGTTTCACAGCTATTCTAAATTTAGATTCACACACACCAAGCACAAACACTCCCCTCTATACTTAGGGACATTGAATTGCACAGGTGTAAATTCAAGATGATTACTATTCCTAGCCTTCATTAACATTTTAAAAAGTTAAAGTTGCTACTAAGGATGTGTGCTGCCCTAAGCCTGGCTTAAAGCATTTTCCCCAAGGGATTTTATTCATTAGGAACTAGTAGACAATGAATTAACACACTACAAACCTTTAACTTTGCAACAAGGAAAGAACTGCAATTCGCTCTTGTTACCCAGGCTGGAGTGCAATGGCGCGATCTCGGCTCACCGCAACCTCCGCCTCCTGGGTTCAGGCAATTCTCCTGCCTCAGCCTCCTGAGTAGCTGGGATTACAGGCACGTGCCACCATGCCCAGCTAATTTTTTGTATTTTTAGTAGAGACGGGGTTTCACCATGTTGACCAGGATGGTCTCGATCTCTCGACCTCGTGATCCACCCGCCTCGGCCTCCCAAAGTGCCGGGATTACAGGCTTGGGCCACCGCGCCCGGCCTGCAATTGTCTTTTAAGACAGTTTCAAGTTTCCACCCCGTAGCTGTGAGAAAGATATCAGGAAATTCAAAATAGTAAAAAGATTTAAAAGACTAACAGAAAAAGTAATTATTCTACTTATAAAGAAAATGGAAATTAAAATGAGAATTCTGCTTACCAAACCTGAAAAATTACAGTTACAATATTCAACGGTATGGTAATCTTTTTCTTCTCTATGTATATGGTAAGGCAGGACTCTCCAACTGCTGAGGGAACAACAGAAGGATAGTATCCCTGTCAAGAATTCACCCGTCAAGAATTTTTAAAATATAAAAACTCTTCAAGTTGGTAATTCTATTATAAGAATCTCTCTAAAAACTCATAAATGCTAAGAAATATTTACCTACAAAGATACCTATCACAATGCAATCAACTGTAAAAATTCCCTCAAAATGGACTCCAAACTTAGCCATTAAAATACATACCTCAGCATATGACAAAGGAGAATGCTAAGTGGTTGGGGAAAGAGAGTAAGTTGTATATAAGGCAAAATTACAGCTGCACGAAGGTATTAAGAAATATGGAGAAAAACTGAAAGTCATCAAAAACAATTGAATAAGCACGTATAACTAATGGCATTAAAAAATTTTTATAGCAAACTACTCAAAAACATTTCAGATAATTTTAAGGAATTAAAATCTGGGTATGGCTGACAAAGAAATTCACGATACATATTTAAAGTAGTACATTTAAAGATGAGCTGTCTTCTTTTAAGAAAATAATTCAGCAAAAAAACTTCTGGGATGCTATTTGGTCATATGTTTTAAGAGTATGTTTATACCTAAGTACAAACATTCAGAAGTAGTTCAGTACTTCTAAGATTCTACTATAAGGACAATGGTCAATTTTTGTTTGTTTTGAGACAGGGTCTGGCTCTGTTGCACAGGCTGGAATGCAATTGTGTGATCTCGACTCATTTCTCTACCGATATGCATTCAGGCTGTTTCCAGTTGTTTTTATTTCTTCTACAAATAAAGCAGTGAACACCCATCAACATTCATCTTTACTTACTTGGGCAAGCATACTTGATAAATGCATACACTTCACAATCTAGCATATTTAAAATTGATAGGTATCGGTCGCAATTGACCCAAGAGCCACACCAGTTTAAATTCCCAACTATATGAGAACTATTTCTTTGCACTCTTGCCAAAGTTTACTTTTTATGAACATGACAGGTAAACAAAGAATCCATTGTTTAAGTCAATGACGGGATTCTGAGCTGAAGGACACGGAGTCTACCATATGTTCTTAAGACTGAGTATTTTTTCATGTTAATTGTCCCCCTTCCCCCGTCATGTTCCTCATCTTAGAAAACAGATCCACATTAATGTGCCAGACAAAATTTGATTCCTTTCTTTCTCATTCCCTACAATCAAGTCTTGTTAAACCTAAACCTTAAAATTTACACAAAATCTGTCTACTTACTTTGTCTCCGTTATTACCATACCAGTCCAAGCCAACACACTTCTCACCTGAACTATTGCAATAGCTTCCTGCTGTCACTTGTGCTTTGTCACTCAACACTTCCAACCCACTGGAAAGCCCTGTACCCCTTAAAAATCCTAAGTTCAGGTCCACACCAAGGCCCTGCTGTTTGCTCTGCTTATGATACTCCTGCTCTGTGGCCTTAAACCAGTTTCTCTGCATGGTTGGCTACTTGTTATTCAGTCTTCAGCTTAAATGTTACTTTCTGAGAGAGAGACCTCAATTGCACGTGGGCCAGCAGTTTAATCACTAACTCCCCATCCTAATTCCTTACCATATCCCCTTGCTTAGTTTTCGTATTACTGAATATAATTTAAAATTGTGGCCTGGCATGGTAGCTCACGCCTATAATCCCAGCACTTTGGGAGGCTGAGGCGGGTGGATTACTTGAAGTCAGGAGTTTGGGACCAGCCTGGCCAACATGGTGAAAACTTGTCTCTGCTAAAAATAAAAATTAGTTGAGTGTAGTGGCACACACCCATAGTTTCAGCTACTTGGGAGGCTGAGGCAGGAGAATCGCCTGAACCCTGGAAGTGGAGGTTGCAGTGAGCTGAGACTGCACCACTGTACTCTAGCCTGGGCAACAGAGCAAGACTCCATTTCAAAAAGAAAGAGATAAAGAGAAAGAAAGAGAAAGAGAAAAGAAAGGAAAAAGGAGAGAGAAAGTGAGTGAAGAGGGAGAGAGAAAGAGAAAAACGGAAGGAAGGAGGGAGGGAGGGAATAAATAAACTGTATTACAGTCGACCCTCCCTACCTGTGGGTTCCACATCTGTGGATTCAACAAACCGCGTATCAAAAAAAAAAAAAATTTTTTTTTTTTTGAGTCGGAGTTTCGCTCTTGTTACCCAGGCTGGAGTGCAATGGCGCGATCTCGGCTCACCGCAACCTCCGCCTCCCGGGTTCAGGCAATTCTCCTGCCTCAGCCTCCTGAGTAGCTGGGATTACAGGCACGCGCCAACATGACCAGCTAAGTTTTTGTATTTTTAGTAGAGACGGAGTTTCACCATGTTGACCAGGATGGTCTCGATCTCTTGACCTCGTGATCCACCCACCTTGGCCTCCCAAAGTGCTGGGATTACAGGCGTGAGCCACCGCGCCAGGCCAAAAATATTTTTTTAAAAATATATATATTTTTTAAAATATATATACAGGAAGACATGCGGGTTCTTTGCAAATACTGTACCATTTTACATCAGGGACTTCAGCATCTGTGGATCTGGGTATGTACAGGAGGTCCTGGATCCTCTAGAAATAACCAGGGAAAACTTTTGTTTCTACTCCACTATAGGTCTGTAGTTAGAAATGCAAAAATCGGTCACTGCAAGGCGCCGGGCGACACGTTGTCTCGGTTTTCGGCGGGCTTACCAGGGACGAAAATGTCTATGGCCAGCGATTTCTACCTGCACTACTACGTAGGGCACAAGGGCAAGTTTGGGCACGAGTTTCTGGAGTTCGAATTTCGGCCAGACGGAAAGCTTAGATATGCCAACAGCAGCAATTACAAAAATGATGTCATGATCAGAAAAGAGGCTTATGTGCACAAGAGTGTAATGGAAGAACTGAAGAGAATTATTGATGACAGTGAAATTACAAAAGAAGATGATGCTTTGTGGCCTCCCCCTGACAGGGTTGGCTGACAGGAGCTTGAAATTGTCATTGGAGATGAGCACATATCTTTTACCACATCAAAAATAGGTTCTCTTATTGATGTAAATCAGTCAAAGGATCCTGAAGGCCTTGGAGTATTTTACTATTTGGTACAAGACTTGAAATGTTTAGTTTTCAGTCTCATTGGATTACACTTCAAGATTAAACCAATTTAAATTCCAAAAAAAAAAAAAAAAAAAAGAAATGCAAAAATCGTAGCTTTTCTACAGGACAGAAGACACAGTATTTGCCCTGTTCACATCTGTATCCACAACACCTAGAACAGTTTATACTGTTCACATCTGTATCCACAACACCTAGAACAGTTTATTAGATGTTGACTAAAAGAAGTGCAGAACAGTCTTTTCATATGCGTCCCCCCACCAACTTTTAAGAAGATAAAGTTGTTAGTCTCATTAATTCCTAAGAAAACTCTTTAAGAAAGTTAACCTACAGTTACCCATCACACAGATTTTTTTCCTCCTTGGTCACATATTCACCTAATTATATAATTCAATGATTTTTAATACATTCAGAATTCTGGAATCATTACAATTTTAGTGTACTCCATCATCCCCAAAAGAAACCTGTATCCTTTCAGACGAGATCAGGCACACTCAGGGTGGTATGGCTGTAGACAGAAACCTGTATCCTTTCAACAGTTGCTCTCTGGGAGTTTTTTGTTTTTTTAAACATTTAAGTTCAGTGGTACATGTGCAGGTTTGCTACATGGGTAAACTCATGTCACAGGAATTTGTTGTACAGATTATTTTACCACCCAGGTATTATGTCCAGTACCCAATGCTTTTTTTTCTGAACCTCTCTCTTCTCCAACCCACCACACTCAAATAGACCCCAGTGTCTATTATTACCCTCTGTGTCTGTATGTCACCATTTAGCTCCCACTTGTAAGAACATGATATTTTGATTTTTCAATCCTGTGTTAGTTTGCTAAGAATTATGACCTCTAGCTCTATCTATGTTCCTATCAAGGGCATGATCTCCTCCTCCTTCATGGCTGTGTTGTATTCCATGGTGTGTATGTACCACATTTTCTTTATCCAGTCTACTATTGATGGGCATTTAGGTTGATTGCATGTCTCTACTATGGTGAACAGTGCTGCAATATTGTTCACAATATATGTGTGCATGTGTTTTTATGGTAGAACAATTTATATTCCTTTGGGTATATACCCAGTAATGGGATTGCTGGGTTGAACGCTGGTTCTGTTTTTAACTCTTTTGAGGAATCACTACACTGTTTTTCCACAATGACTGAACTAATATATATTCCCCATCACCACCTTCTGGTGTGAGTGAGATGGTATCTTAATGTGGCTTTGATTTTCATTTCTGTTTTTTGTTTTGTTTTGAGACAAAGTCTCGCCCTGTCACCCAGGATGGAGTGCAGTGGCATGATCTCGGCTAATTGCAACCTCTGCCTCTCAGGTTCAAATGATTCTCATGCCTCAGCCTCCCACGTAGCTAGGATTACAGGAGCCTGCCACCATGCCCAGCTAATTTTTGTAGTTTTTAGTAGAGATGGGGCTTCACCATGTTGGCCAGGCTGGTCTTAACTCCTGACCTCAGGTGATCTGCCCACCTCAGCCTCTCAAAGTCCTGGAATTACAGGCATAAGTCACTGCGCCCAGCTTGAGTTTCACCTAATTATCAGTAATAAAGCTTTTTTTCCATATGCTTATTGTCCACATGTATGTCTTCTTTTAAAAGGTGTCTGTTCATGTCCTTTTTAGGACACTATCATTTCCCTCCAACCTCTCCCACCCCTAGGCAACCATGAATCTATTTTCTGTCTCTGCAGATTTACCTATTCTGGATATTTCACATAAATTAGATCATACAATGTTTAAAAAAATTTTTTCACTTATCATGTTTTTAAATTCATAATTGTTTTAGCATATATCAGAACTACTTTTTTGTGTGTGACAGGGTCTCACTCTGTCACCCAGGCTAGAGTACAGTGGCATTATCTTGGCTCACTGCAACCTCTACCTCCCAGGTTTAAACCATTCTCCCACTTCAGCCTACTACAGTAGTGTGCCACCACGCCTGGCTAATTTTCATATTTTTTGTAGAGATGGGGTTTTGCCATGTTTTCCAGGCTGGTCTTGAACTCTGGCTCAAGCGATCTGCCCGCCTCAGCCTCCCAAAGCGCTTGGATTACAGGCATGAGCCACCACGCCTGGACAGAACTTCATTTCTTTTTATTGCCAAATAACATTTTATTGAATGGAAATATGGGTATACCTTGGAGATATTGTAGGTTCAGTCCCAGACCACCTCAAAATGAATATTCCAATAAAGTTAGTTTCACAACCTTTTTGGTTTCCCAGTGCATATGAAAGTTATTTTTAGGCCATGTATGGTGGCTCATGCCTGTAATCTCAGCACTTTGGGAGGCCAAGGTGGGTGGATCGCTTGAGCTCATGAGTTTGAGACCAGCCTAGGCAACAAGGTGACAGAACCAGACCTGGTCTCAAAAAAAAAAAAAAAAAAAAAAAGTTATTTTTATACTATGGTCTATTAAATGTATATATCATAATTTTAAAACACTTTATTGCTGAAGAATCCTAACAATTATCAGAGACTTCAGTGAGTCAATGCTGGCGGAGGGTCTTGCCTCAATGTGCATGGCTGCTGACTTATAAGGGTGGTGGGTTGCTGAAGGCTGGGTTAGCTGTGGCAATTTCTTAAAATAAGACAACCATGATGTTTGCTGCATAGTTGGATTTTTCCTTTCATGAAAGATTTCTTTGTATCATGTGATGCTGTTTGACAGCATTTTACCCACCACAGGAGAACTTTCAAAATTTGAATCAAACCTCTCAAACTCTGCTTCTGCTTTATCAACTAAGTTTATGTGAAATTCTAAGTCCTTTGTTGTCTTATCACCAAAAATGTTCATACCATCTGCACCAGGAGTAGATTCTATCAAGAAACCATTCATCTGTAAGAAGCTATTTTCATCTGTTCAAGTTTTATGAGATTACAGCCAATTCAGTCACACCTTCAGGCTCCGCTTTTCATTCTACTTCTCTTGCTATTTCCACACCTATGTAGCTACTTCTTCCTCTAAAGTATTGAACCCCGAAAGTCATCCATGAAGTTTGGAATCAACTTCTTCCAAACTCCTGTTCATGTTTATCTTTTGACCTTCTTCCATTAATCGAAAATGTTCTTAACAGCTTCTAGAAAAACGAATCCTTTCCAGAAAGTTTTCTCAGATCCATCAAAGGAATCACTATCGATGGCAGCTCTAGCTTTATGAAATGTATTTCTTAAACAATAAGACTTGAAAGTCAAAATTATTCTTTGATCCACAGGCTGCAGAACTGATCTTGTGTTAGCAGGCATGAAATCATTAACCTCCTTGTACATCTCAGAGCTTCAGTGACATTGTTACTCGAGCTCTGATGGAGCACTGTTAATGAGTACTAATATTATGAAAGGAATCCCTTTTTTTCTGAGCAGTTAAGTCTCAACAGTGGGCTTTAAACATTCAGTTAGCCATACTGCAAACAGATGTGCTGCCATAACTTTATTGTTCCATTTATAGAACACAGGTAGAGTAGATTTAGCATGTTTCTTAATGGTCCTAGAATATTCAGAATGGTCAGTAAGCACAACTTAAAGAGGCCAGCTTCATTAGCCTGTAACAAGAGAATTAGCCTGTTCTTAAAAGCTTTGAAGCCAGAAACAGACTCTTCCTCTTTAGCTAGGAAAGTCCTAGATGACATCTTCTAAAAGAAGGCTGTGTTCATCTACATTGAGAATCTGTTGTTGAGTGTAGCCATCTTACCACTTATCTTAGCTAGATCTTCTGAATAACTTGCTGCAGCTTCTCCATCAGTACTTGCTGCTTCATCTTGCACATTTATGTTACAGAGACAGATGGATGGACGGGACGGATGGATGGAAGGATGGAAAGGAGGAAGGGAGGGAGGGAGGAAAAAGAAAAACCTCATGAACCAACCTCTGCTAGCTTCCAAATTTTCTTATGCAGCTTCCTTACCTCTCTCAGTCTCCACAGAAGAGAAGAGTGTTAGAGATTTCCTCTGGATTAGGCTTTGGCTTAAGGGAATGTTGTAGCTGATCTGATCTTCTACCCAGACCACTCAAACTTTCCCATATCAGCAAAAAGCCTGTCTCATTTTCTTATTATTCATGTGCTTACTGGAGTAGCCCTTTTAGTTTACTGCAGGAACTTGTGATTTGCATTCACAACTTCACTATTTGGATCAAGAGGCCTAACTTTCAGCCTACCATGGCTTTTGACATGCCTTCCTCACTAAGCTTAATCATTTCCAGTCTTTCATTTAAACTAAGAGACATGTGACTCTTCCCTTCACTTGAACACTTAGAGACCATTGTAGGGTTATTAATTGGCCTAATTTCAATTTTGTTGTGTCTCAGGGAATAGGGAGGCCCAAGAAAAGTGGGAGAGACAGGAGAATGGTCGACTGGTAGAGCAGTCACAGCACACACATTTATCAATTAAGTTCAGCATGTTACATGGGAATCATTTGTGGCACGCCAAAACAATTACAACAGTGGCAAAGCAATAGTTCAAAAAAAAAAAGATGAAAATATTGGGAGAATTACCAGAATGTAGCACAGAAACATGAAGTAAGCACATACTTTTTGAAAAATGGCACCAACAGATTTGTCCAACACAGAATTACCACAAACCTTACATTTGTGTAAAATGGTGTATCTGTGAGGTGTGATAAAAATAAAACACAGTAATATGAGGTATGCCAATACTACATTCTGTTCATCCATTCACCACCGGTTAATAGACATTTAGGTTGTTTCCACATTTGGGATATTATGAACAACATACCGAAGAAGGGAATTTAATAGGACAGTCTATTCCATATTAGGCTGGGACCCCCCCCCCCAAATTAACAAATACAAGTTTTTGTATGAACATGCATTTTCATTTCAGTACATACCTGGGAGTAAATTTCTGGGTCACATGGTGATTTTTTTATTTAACCTTCAGTAACTGCCAAATTGTTTTCCAAAGCAGCTGCAACATTTCTCATTAGCAATATATGAGAGTTTCACTTTTTCTACATCCTAATCAACAATTGTTACTGCCTTCTTGCTACAGGTATCCTACCAGGTGTAAAGAGGCTCCACTGTTCAAAGA